TAAGGGATTTCCAGCTCACAGTGGAACATCAACATGTGAGTTCGTCCTTTTGCAATCGCTGCTTGTGCAGGTCAATCTACCTACTCGCGAAGAGAGAGGGAGATTTCAAGTGATTGCGGGCAGTGGCTTCAAGCTGAGCAGCACAAACGCCTGCCGGATGTATGCATGTTGTTGCAAAAGGACGAACTCACATGTTGATGTTCCACTGTGAGCTGGAAATCCCTTATCTGTGCAAATCATTTTCTGTTTACTCGCAGAGAGAAGTAAACTGCTGAATATGTATATGTATCACCCCAATGTACGTGATAGTACAACATTCGTAGAAGTTTGTTCTCAAAGCGAAAACAACGTAGCGAGACTTGCAAAATCTAAATTACTTTCCCGACAACTTGACATATTTTACTACTGAAGTCAGAGCTTTATGAAACAATTTGTACGGAAGTGGCCAACACCCCTTTCTCGGTCTATGTTTCGACTAGCGGCCTAATATGCCGATAGATGCCATTTAGTGGATCAATGTCCATGTTATGAGAATTTATTGTATGTAATTCAGTGTTACGAGAAAAGTTCAGCCTCGATGCGATAGTCACGGACTGGACTTGCTCGTGGGACGCCATCAATTAATGTAAAATTCCTCCAAAGAAAAGTCCCCGAAACAAACGGGATGTTATAAAATTGGATGCTTGGATAATGAACATCCGCGCATTCGAAAGTTGCACTATAGCATGTTGTTAAAAGATTTTTGTAAGAGGGATTTAAGACTCTAGAAATACCCTCCTTTCGAATATCCATACCTTCCTTCGCAGTAGAATTTCTGAAGCGGGAAAATTAGGGTTGTGAGGCTCTTGGCTCAGCATCTAGTAACCGTGTTAGAAGTATTTCAAATACCTTCTACTCAGGGGAATATTCCCGTGGTGAAATAGTTAATTAAAGTGTCGTCTACGCGTTTACATCCTCTGAACAGCCAGAACGTTTTTCATATGTGACCTCTTCTGAGTCCAATCACAGTGTCGAAATCTAGCAAATTCAACTTTTGATGAACATCTCTCTTTTCTCCTTCGCCTGGGAGGTGAAAAATTTCCGCTGTGTACGTGTGAATAGTTTCGGACGGCGCGACCCACTACCCCTTCGCAATATCATGTCCGGCTCGTTCAAAGTCTTGGGTAGGCTTTAAGAACAAATTTTTTTGTTAATGTTATTAGGAGGCTGTTTGCTCGGCTCCGATTCATATCACCTCCGTATTAAGCTATGCATCCCACTTCCTGACAAGAGTGTTGGAAAGTTTTAACCTCTGAATAAAGCTTCAAGCTGTGCCCTCGCGATCCCCCTCCCTCGGAGTCGAGTGCGACCCTCCCGTTGTGTTTCCCTCAAGCATTGCGTACCATGGTTATGTTCGAGAAAAATACACCCAAATCTGCCGCGAAATACTGTAAAACCTTGTTGTAGGACTCCTTCCTTGCTGAAAAATTCACGACCATTCGACGTTTTTGGACCAGCATGTTTTTTTGCTTTAGGATGGTCCCGTATTTGCAACGAGAAGCACTTTTCCTGTTGTCACCTGCTTCTTCTCATATGTAAATCCATGGATGATGCTGTTTCTGAATGAGGGCACCAGAGAAAGAGTTCTGGCACTTATAGGGTGGAAGAGAAAGAGTTCTGGCACTAATACGTTATGATTTGGAGAAAAAGTTTGAGCAAGGTAAAACAGATTTTCATAGAGCTCGTGAAAATAGTGAAAATTACAATAATTGTGCTGTTATGAAGAGTCCTGGAACATTTTTCAGCTTCCATCATAGAACGCATTTCGTGGGCTCTTGTGGAATGTAGTGTTTGTTCCGACAGTGTATTGCGTCCACGCAAATTCGAGACCATGGAAGCTTCTGGAAGAAGAGTTTTACGATTCCATCGAAATCTCGATATGTTCAACAAAGAGGAAACGGTCACCAAAAGGTGGAGTTTCTTGTTCAACGAAAACAGAAATAAAGCTACGAAGAATTGACACCTACCACACACCGATACAACCAAGCAGCGCTGAATATCTAGAAATGTACCAGGAAGCAAAAGATATTACAAACTCTGATGAATCAGCTACGATTTGAGCATAATAAACACTCACATGTGACAAAATTAACGCAAAATGGTTGATGTCGTTTGGACGAGCTGACTTTTGAGAGCTCATTCTTAATGTGCCTAGATCACCAAATCCGCTGAAAACTTGTATATACGGGTAATCCGATATCCTGTTTACAAATATGGCATTCATTTCTGGAGCTGGCACTAATGGAGGACATTACGATTATCTTCAGGGTTCAGCTTTAGCAAAGGGTAGATAATCGTAGTGTTCTCCATTAGCACCAGGGCCAAGAATGAGCTGGTCGTAATCAGGATGTTAGATTACCTCAGTATACAAGTTTTCAGCGGATTTGGTGATTTAGGCACTTCAAAAATGAGCTCGCAGCCGAAAGTCAGCGCGTCCAAACGGCGTTAGCCCCGCGGAATGCGCAGGCGCACTAATGGATCGCCCCACCAACTGGAGCTGCCAGAGGTGGAAAGCACAACGAAAATCTGCAAAAATGTTTTTTTGTTCAAGGGTTCTATCTGAATGAAGGAAAGAGAAATATGTCCATTCTTATTTTTCTCCCTAGCGTTAGTCCCGCGTCTTCGCAGGGTCCGCTGTGGAATATGTCCATTAAGACGAGGAGATAGACGGGTCTTTGCAGCAAATCTTATCTCCTGAGTATGTCATGACGCAGCGTTTAGACACGACATGTGCGCAACAAGTGCTCCAATGCTGTAGACGCGAACGCAGCTGCAGACGGGGATTGATCGGCGTCGCTTGAATATTGAGAAATATGGAAGAACGTTGCTCGGTCTGGTATCGATCAGCAGCAGGATCAAGCATACGTCGCGGAATCCGCGACGTGAGGTCGTATTCAGCAAAGGGGGGGGGGCGGGGCGGGTCGTATGTGCAGTGATCAGAACTGAATACATAGCGACGAAGCTTGAGGACGGGTGATGGATTCAGAAATGGAGTCGAGGGCATGGCGCATTCCATCTACGTGTTGGTCGGTTATCTCTGTGCGTCAGTTCCTATTTGGCGAATGAGAAGGAGTTGTACGGTAAGTCTACCGAGCTTTGTAGACGGGATTGTGGGCTCTGTAGGGGTGAGATCCTCATGTTGCAGGTGGAGCTCACTTTAAAGAAGAAATCGCGGCCAGACAAATTTTCGCTACAGTTGAGCTACAGCAAAGCTGTGGTGCTCATGAGAAAAAGAGAACTTCTTCTTCCCAGCGACGTGCATATCTTCATTTTGCGTTATGCCTTAACAGGGTACAGCATCGTCTCGTGAAACATGTAGGGGAAGGGGATCGTATTTGGTCGTTGGGAGATAGGGGGTCGTATGTGCCTTGAGAGAAATTTGTCGCGTTGGTTTTCCGGTTGTTGACTTTTTGCGTGATTTTTCCTGTTTCATGTGCACTATATACCCCCCCCCCCGCTCGATAGTAAAATTTTTGGATAGAACTAGGAAAAGTTCCGGGAAGTTCGAAAAAATGCTAGGAAGTTGGGGAAATTCTACCGCTATACGGGGGCTATGTATCCCTCCCCCTCCCCTGCTCGATGGAGAACTTTCGAGTGAAAAACATCCAAAATAAGCGAAATTGGTAGGTAGGTGTTGGGGAAGGGGAGGTTGTACCGAGACCTTCATTTAGGTGGGGGGGGGGTCGTACTGACACCCTCTCCCGAAAGGGGGGAGGGTTGTACCTATACCACCTCACGCATCACGATGCTCTATCCTGTGCCTGAACTAAGTTATACCTATGGAATTGTACAAAAACTCGCGACTGCCGTGGATTCTCCGCATTATTTTCGTGACTTTCGTGACCGGCGAATCTTGACTGTAATAGAGCCGCAGAAAAGCTGTGATGCTAACAGGAATAGATAATCATTTACTTCCCGATGACCTGCAGATCTCCACTCTGCGTTATGTCTTAACAAAGTTATACTTGTCGAAAGATAAAAAACTCGCGTCCGCCAAAAATCATCTGCGTTATATTCTGGCCAAAAGCCGTCGCACAAGCCTTATGAAAGCTGCGGTATATTTGGTATAGAGCTTGCCCATACACCCGAAATCGCTCTTACCATGCTGAGAAAGATGGTTTCTGAATGAAGTTGTCCCCTTTTGAAATACTATGTGAATGCAGTGGACTGATAGCGCTCTAATCTCAGCACGCCGCTACCACAGCGCCCTTGACCCTTCGGCTTCGTTTGCTCCTTTCACAGTAAAGTTTTTCCGATGTTTGTTTTCCCGAAGTTCACCGGAGTTGGGTGCCTTACAGTAATTGGGGTCCGCTCTGAATTGAAAAGTGTCCTATTTGGCTTGAAAAATGTCCGATTTCAAGTGAAAATGGTATATGTCATATTCTATAACCACCCTTTCATCAAGAAAGCAGGACGTGGTATTGTGACAATAAAATTTTTATGCAACACAACATTACTGGGGCAGTAGTTAGTGATCCTCAATTGTGATTTCAAATTACTTTGTTTTTCGATAATTGTAGCACACACCCTCGTAGTGTATGAATAAGTGAATAAATGAAATATGCAGGCACGTCAAGTGTATTTGTTCCGCTATAGAAGAAAGGGCATGTCAGGAGACCTGGTTTTGACGCGAAACCAGCTCGTTTTCCAGCTATTGTTGCCTTTTGCCCGTTTCAACAATTGGCTAAATGTGAGCTGGCGCCGCGCCAAACCCACTCTTTCTGACACCTGCAGTGTCCGCAGCGGAAACGACTGCTCCCATATCAAGGCGGTGGCAGGGCAAAGTGCTTTCTATCCCACGTGAAACATGCTTTGGACGATGATCTCGATCATTCTATTTTACTTAGTTCAAAAGTATTTTAGGACGGTCCAATATATACGATGAGGGCCATTTTCCCGGCGGTCAGCTGTTTCTTCTCCTACGTCAATGCATGGATGATACTCTGTCTGAATGACGATATAAGACGGAAAGTGCTATCACTCATCGGGTTCCGTAACAGAAAAATACCAGTAAGTTTGGATCAATCCTCACAAAAAAATCTAAGCTTTGCTAGGGGTTATAAAAGTTTAGATATAAGCGAATACATGAGATAAATTCTATTGCCCTCTCCCGCTCTCGGCTATGCGGTGTGCGAGGTGAGTGGATCAGCAGCTGCAGTACCTTGCCTTAAAACTTTCTCCACTCAAAGTCCCCGGGACATTGGCTGCAGAGCAGTAACTCGTACGCCGCCTCCACCGCACCCGCTAATCTCGTTCTTGTGCACTTTTGAGCAGTGAGAGTGGCATGTTTCCTTGAGCTGCTAATCTGTTCACTTTGCAAATGACAACGACGTCCTCGAAAATGAATGTACATTTGCCTCAAAGGCATATGACACGATAGTTTGACACTCAGCCTTAACTGCAAACAGGGTGCAATGAAGTGGGGGAAAATGCGGAAACAGGAGAAACGAAGCCGAAACTGGTCAAAAAAACGGATAAACCACGCGTTCTTCATGACTCGAAAGCGATTTCGAACGACTTGGACATCGACATCCAATAAATGGTACGGTAGATACCGTTGCATGTACTGTCCTCATCATTTGCGGAGCGCGGTGGGCTGCAGTGCTGCTGCTTATTGCGGTTGGGACAAAATCTTCTGCCCAGTTTTGATAGCCGGATAAGTGCATTACTGTATTATATCCTTGTATTAGTCATTTTCTACCAATTTTTGTCGCATACGCATTGCAACAAAAAAGGCTGAGAACGGCTTCAACAGTGTGCGCACTCCTTCTGGCTCGCACGCCCCACCGGTCCGCAGTGATGAGGGTATGTACCCAAATACCAATGATACGCGGGCCGACTTCATATCACTCCTTCTATTTTTATCGTATTTTATGATCGTTACTTCGTATTTTACTCTCGCAAATGAAGCAATACGAGCATCAGTACAGTCGTCCATTTAAGGGGAGGGTTGCGGAATGCTTGGTGGGCGTCCGGATGGTTATGTTGTAGATTGGTAGGCCTTATAAGGTATCTCCTTGGAAAAGGCGCTACACAGTGTCTCCTCAGGGGCGCGTAATTCCGTCCTACCAGACGTATTAACCCTATTCGTCTTAGGGATTCTTTATCGTGACAACTGGATCAAGTCACACTCACACGCATTTAGGGCTTGGAGAGAGTTCCGCTACCAGGGAAACTTCTATTGCTCGCTCAATCATGAAGCCGTACCAAATTACGATCTCTGCATAGTCTAGTCGTTTTTACCGCCGGCCTCGTGGTTCTGGGTTCTACAGGGCGGTAGGCCGTTTCCATCACTCTTTGTCGTTATCCCTTTTCAATATTTAGTGGGGAACGAGATGGCGCCGCCCCTAACCCGGCCGCCTGACAAGCCTCAGTGCCTGCTGCGACAGTGGAATGTCTGCTGTATTAGCGCTCTGTGAATGGTTATACATGGTCTCCGCCGTGATTATGTTGACATGGAAGGATATGGAATAGCTGAAAGAGAGAATCCGGGCTCTTTCGATTTTCCATCAACATTTATTAAAATGCCCCTTGGGGTGGTGTTCCCACGGTGTATTGGCACGTGTTTTTATGAGCGCTACTGTTCATGCTTACGCTGTGAGGTGATCATCATCAAAGATGTTTATAATCCCTGCACGATAAGGTTAAATGTGCAGAAGAAATGGGTGCACTTCCGGTTTGGTGGGGTATCGAATGGTACTCAGCCAATTTGTACAGGTCATCCTGCAGATCAGTAAAATCCTGTGTCCAAAACGGCTCGCTCCAGCAATTTCTCAGCTTCGCAAGAGTTTACAGGTCTGGGGCTCATGGTTAGTTGGCTAACAAAAGGAACTAGCGATAGGGCAAAATGCCTCCTTTCAAGGCCGAGAACTGCCCAGAAATGTTCAGAAATTGTTAGCTGAGGGCGTGCTGCTTGGGTTTCGAAGCCTTTTTTGAAGGAGCTTTTTTATGTGAAACATTTTGACGTGGGCAGTGCATATTTCACTACATCATTTTCAGAGTTCTTCGGCTATGTCGATGTCGACTTCGGTGAAGACCATCGCCATCGCTACACTATCGCGGAAAACATGATTCAGTACTTGTCAAGTGTCTGTTATCTTACTGTACAGAAGTAGCAGCACCTGTCCCATATCTCATTTCCTTTCCTCCGTTTCGGCTCGACCATGAAACCTATTGAGGCCAAAATGAAACAGCGAAGAATGAAATATGCAAGAAGTATGCTCCCGCTTCAAGGCTTCAGTCTCCTGGACAACCATTTGCAATTAGCTTGACGGAGCTCGAGGTTGTCGAACTATGGGGGAAGGAGCTGCTACTGCCACCGGTCCAGACAGATAGCTGCTTTGAGATCTGAAGCCAATCCTTGATTCAGTGGTAGCATTCATTCACACTTCGCTTGCGAGTCGACATTTCCAGACCCCTTCATGCAAAAACTATCAAACCGGATCATATGCAAAATGCTGGACGGTTCTTAGCGTTATAGCTACATATTTCCGAGTAGAGGTCGCCTAGCTAGCTCTTTACATGGACGAAGAAACGATTTATGACCCGAGTCGACGTCAAAATCGAACTGACATTGTACATCGTGTTGCACGTGTCTCCATTTTCGAGCATTTCATTTATATTATAATGCTATAATCCGGTCAAGATTCCCTCAATACTAATGGTAGATATTACAATCTTTGGGACAGTTTGAACGAAGGAGGTGAGGGAGGAGGGCATTTTGCACGTTTGCTACTTCCTTGACGTGTAGACCTATCTAGACAGCCTCTTCTCGAGTTGACAGGTTTTAACATGATGGCTTGACGAGCTTGCTCCAGCTTCACAAGAGTTCACAGGTTTTCACCAGAGTGAGACTTGTAAACCGGAACTAGTGAAGCAGCGAAAGTGCAAAATGCCCCCCCCCCCACCCGTCGCCGAACTGCGCTCTAATCTTACATGTCTCTCTGCAATACAAGAGAGACGTGTAAGATTCTGATTCTCTCAGTCTCGTAAAACTGTCGTGGAACTTTTCGTCAATCCAGTTTGTTGACACCTTCAGCTGAGCCTTTAGAATAGAAATGTAGTCTTGTTATGCTGCTTCATTTCACACAGTAACCATAACATACAGTAGAGTGCATACAGTAGAGCTTACCTAGACGTAGTTGTCAGAAAGATGGCCAAATGACTTTTTCTCAGAAAATGGTCAAATGACTTTTTCATTTCCATGTTACTTGTACTTCGCTTCTTTTCCCTCTTGACTTAATTGGAACCTCTCGAGATTTTTTGTTTTGTACGAACTTTTTGTTACTAAAGTCAGTCTATTTGACATAATAATAGTGTTCACAACTTTTTGTGAACGGCATTGGCTTGGCTGTGGCTGCCGTTATTTATCAATTTGCCCGTAAAATTTGGTAATGAAGCATTTTTCAACGCATGACAGGATTTCAGGGAAGTCTACGATTGATTCAATTACAGTTATGGGAAATAACAATTATTAAATGGGAAATTTGATGAAAAACATTGTTAAAGGTGACACGTTAAAAGTATCCTAGTGTCTGTTTTTGCGTATTACCGTACTCGATCCATTTCGCCCCAGACAGGTGACTCGCGATCTTATCAAAACATAGCTATCACCTTCCCTTGCATTAGCTGCTAGTTAGCCGTTTGAAGACAATTCCCGCTAATAAATAGTAGTGTAGTAGTCAGTTATGATCCAGTAGCTGACAAGGGACTACTCAGTTGAGAAGGCAAAAAAATTAAGAACCTCAAACGAAACCCCTCCCTGACAGTCACACAGCCTCTTTGCACGATTCCTGTTGGCAGCTAGACGCCCTGCGGCCTCTGTGCGCCCCCTGGTCTAAAATCGTTTTAGCTCTTCTTCGAGTGCTAAACACCTCAGTACTGAATGTCTCCAGTACTAGAAAAAAAACGAATACCAAAGACATGGAACAGGAAATAGCTTTTGAGAACTCTGTGCCTAAATATTGTATCAGTTGGTTAGTTGCTTTCCGAAATTGATAGATAGAACTTTTGGACAGAGAGCCAACGTTTTGACTGAACCGAAACGGGGCCTTAAAGGAACTGCCCGCGATCAGCTGGCATCTTCCTCCCCCCTCCTGAGCAGGTAGACAGGCCCGCAGAACAGCGATTGCACCATTTTTGCGGCGCAAAGGTGAGGGAGACATTGTCGTTCTTCTCACTGGCCCGACCCATTTTCATTAACCCCGCCCCTCTGCTATCCATAATGATAGAAGACCTGCTAAAGAACATCGGCAGAGACATTATTGGCAACAGGAAATCAGCTGTGATCAATGGCGCAACCACATCGACCACAACAGCACTCGCCCGGTGATCTCGTCCGATCACTCTCTTTGCTCTTCCTCTGCTCGTACAAGTGTGCTCGCAGAGGGGTTTTATTGGGGCATTTGCGACCATTTTTTCTGTTTTTTCTGCACTATTGACTTTGTTGGCATCTTGGCATCGCTAGTTCAGCACCACTACCCAGAATATCTGATCGCGGGCTTTGCCTTTGAGATCCTCATCTTCAAATGTAACCTCATCAGCCAAGCGCGCCATCTTCTGTCTAGTGGTTCCGACATGCTGACAAGAACCTTGAAGATGAAGAGAAACCAGCTCACCTGGGTTTCTACCTTCTGAATTGACAAATTCGCTGTCACACTCTAGCATTGATAATCGCATTTACATATACTTCCGCAGTAACGGATAATGGTTCCCTGCAACCTTTTCAGATCGTTTCTCTTCGTTGTGTGAATTTCTCTATGAGATTCCTGTCTCATGTAATAACCGCTACAAAAGATGAGGCGCTCGGTGAGCCAGAGCTTAAATTGGAGCCTCGAATCATATTCAGGCCCCAAAAAGAGCCTAAAAGCTGGCCGTCTGAATATCGAATTCCACCTTAGCAATGTTCAGAAAGCACATGAGTTTAAACTAACCCAATATACAACCATGGTCGTCTGGGTGAAACAGCGTAGCGGGGGGCGGGTGGGGTACGCTACTTTCCGCTGCGGGAAGGGAGGGGTGCGCAATTTGGATTTGTTTTATGAGCGAAGGGACTCGTATGAGCTCCCGCGATTTTCCCGTCTCATGTGTATTATATACCCTCCCTGCCTCCCCCACCCCGCTCGCCCTCGACAGAAAAATCTTTGAGCTGAGAACTCCACTCTCACCCAAAAAGTTTTTCTGTCGAATTTTATTTTACATTTTACATTATTTTTACATTATTTTATTTTACAGGGCACATTCGTTGGTCGGGGAATCCCCAACAGGGGGGTCGTATTTGGCCGCCAGGAGGGGGTCGTAATGAGTGCGCGTAGCCAGTAACGAGCAGCGCAAAGGTGTCAGTGTGCTGAGTCCTGTACAGCGAAACTTGCTTTGTAGAGAACTCGGATATGTAAAAAAATAGTACAAAACTTTCATTCATCAAACTAATCCGAAATAACTGGAAATCAATAAGTCGACATCATCTCGTAAGTGACTAAACAGTCACTCTGGTTCGGATGATGGTGCGTGCCCGCGATCGCGCGTGGCGCTGAGCCAAAACCTTTTTCTCGACAACGAACAGACTACCATATCGTTCGTATCCGTTTTCCAGCAGTTGGTCTCCTTTGTCGGAACCATTGGTGGAGCACGAATCTGGCGGGGTCTACAGGAGACACAGCTCCATCATACGCAACGGAAAACACTGTAAACAAGTGCACAGGTTCGCCATGGAACCTCCCTGAATCCTATAGACACATTTGCTCGCGTGGACAGACATTACGCACAAATTGCACCATCCCATCACCTCTGCGCGGACCTCAATGCGCGGCGCATCCAAAGTTAGCATGATTGGCGCTAAACAAACCACATCCTGCTCCTGCTCTACCACAGGATACGTTCTACATGTATTTCTGGTTATTCGAAACGCTTGCTTGAAACCACACAGAAAACGGACTTTCGAACAGTTCGGAGTGTTCCCCAAATAATCCCCAACACAATTATCTAATGACTCCCGGTAGCTTCGAAAAACATTGAAGTAGTTTTTGGAAAGAGGAAATCTTCTAGAACTCGACAGTAGTTTCAGATTCTCAAACTATTGAGGCTCAAGGGAGATACCTTGGTTCAAACTTGTAAAACTCGCGCTGCAAAATATCAAAAAAAACTCCCCAAAAACTCCCCAACGCAAATTTTCTCTATGAATTTGGCGACCTTTATGAACATGTCAGTATGTTTTGGAAAGCTCGAATCTTTCTCTATTGTTTTCAAAAGGTATTGAGGGTAAGTAGAGCAACTCGTGAGATGGCAGTGGAGTTTACAAGCTGGCTATTTTTTGCAACGAACATCTGGGAAAGATTCTACGACTGCTACAGGCGATAGATAATGCAATACATGCTACACAGCTTCAACCGCGTAGGTCATTGTCTTGAGACTGAAAAGTACAAAGCACACAAGGGTGTCGAGTCTCTGAGTGCTTCATCTCATCCATTGGACAGCGTTCAGACTTCGCGACGGCAGCGCTTCTATAGCTTGACCTTGTTTGACGCGATCGATGCTGTGGAAAGCATGCCCATCGATAGCGCGAATCGCAGCTGACCGAGGCGCTGCTGTCGCGAAGTCTGAACGCTGCCTTACGCCCTTGTTGGAGCTACAAAAGCGATTCTACTGTGCGAATGCTAACACGGATTCCAGATGCACCGAGACATTTCCGCGATTACACTAATTGGCGGACAACCTGGGCACTTAGGGAGGCCGATTACTTTGAAGAACCCGCTCCTCACTACTACCGCTGATCAAAACTTATTCGCTTCGGCGAGCCGCCACCAAAACTGTGTAGAACACTTACAGCACGCATTCTACTTCCATTCGAAATCGCAGCGACTTATTGAAAGCGTGCTCTCATCCTCCCAGACGGATGTGGTAACTATTTACCGTCCCCGGAGGTTAGAGGGCTCGGTTGGGCCTGGGCAGGAGTCGTCCCGGTTTTTCAACCCAGAACGCGCGCAAGTGCTATGCGCGCCACTAGTCACTACATCACCTCCGCCTCACAACAAAACTGGGGCTGGGGTCAGCTGCTATCACTCATAATCTGCTTA